ATCCCACCTGGGCACATGGAGGCCCACGGTAACTCTCACGGGGCAACATACGCACGAACACACAAGTTATGATATGAACCCTTCCAGGCTTCACTATCATTATCATGTTATGTTCATCGTGTTCTGTATCTTGGTAACTAGTCATAGTATTAATACATGACAGTGTTATTAGTATAATATTGAAACTTTTACCCTACAGTTATTGTTATAAATCATGGACAGGAAGGATACATAAATTGTAATATCAAGTGGATGGTTCGCTCAAAGCCACCCCAAGTCAGACAACGCGTCACACAAAGTTACACTGTGTGTGTGTGTGTGTGTGTGTGTGTGTGTGTGTGTGTGTGTGTTCTGTAACATTAAGCTTCATCCTTAGTAGGTAAGATGTTTCATAAAGAGGTTTCTCCCATTCGTCATTGTGAGCATTGTCCCAGAGCACATTGTTTCCATCAAAACCATGATTCATCCTTATTTCCCTACTTCCGTGTAACTACATCCATATGGCTAAGTGCTTGTTTTCATTTCTTTATTTACCCAAATAATGTGGATCAGTTACTCGTTATTTAACACATACATGCAGTTAGAGAAGGGGTGGCCAACCTGTCGATCGCGATCGACTGGTCGATCGAAAGATCTTCTCTAGTCGATCGCATGGCAAAGTTAAACTTAATGATCCACCCTTCTTAAGCTGCCATACAAAAATCCTCTTCAAATTTTACTCATAATCATTGAGAATTATATTTGTTTAGACTTTTTTTTCTGGGAATAGATTATCATTATGGACACATCAGAGCGATACATACAAAAAAACTTCGACTGTGCCATGTTGTGTGTGGCGGAACCTGATAGGAAGTGTTCGCGTTCATAAGGGTCGGTGCAGGCTGGTTCCTGGCGAGGAAACTGATCAGCAAGTTGTCATCAGTTGTAGGCTAAAACTAGGCAGGTATTTGCTTTTATAAATTTACAAATACACGTTAAACCTTGTATTAATGAATTTGGTAATGAAAAAGTCGAATCGATATTGAAGAGTCTTATCAAAAGTAAAGAGGGAGAGAATCATATTTGGCAACCTTGCCCAGCGAGCCTACACACTTGTCACCAACAATGCAGTGATTTTCTGTCATCTGTCATCTCGCCGCAACCCTAGAGTAGACAAAAGTGTCCACACTAGCCGATGACAATTGCTTATAAAAAAAAGTTAAGAACGTTACGCTGTAACGTTCGTAATTCTCATATTCATGTAGGAAAAGTTATGGAAAAAAGTAATTCTCGTATTCACGTACGACTTTATCTTTTCCAAATATAGGTTATTGGCCATCAACTGACCCAAAAATGAGTTCTGGACCAAGTACTAAAAATACCCAAATTTACCATTTTCACAATGAATGGGAAGAAGACTTATTTTACCATGAATAATTTGATGTGTCTGTCCTTGATCTGCCATGCGTCTACAGCTCTAGCTAAGAAAGAAAATTCTGAAAGGCATTTCAAAGGTTTTCACAAGAAGTATGATAATGATTTCCCACCCAAAAGTGAACTATGAAAGAGGAAAGTTCATGAACTGAAATCACAGCTTACTGCACAACAAACTCTTTTTACAGAAGCGAGCTCAAAATCAAGGGTAGCAACCATTGCATCATTCAGGGTGAGTCGAGTACTTACAAAGCATAAAAAAAATCATTTCAAGATGGAGAAGTATTCAAAGAGGCCTTTTTAGAAGCAGCAGATTCGTTGTTTGAAAATTTCAAAAATAAGTCTGAAATACTGTTTCCTATTAAGGATGTTCAGTTATCAAGAAACACTGTCATGAGGCGCTGTGAATTCATGGCTGAGGACTTGGGTGAACAACTGAATAAAGACATACAGTACATGAGTGTGTGTTCTTTTCATTACAATTTGATGAGTCTACTGATGTGGTCGATACATCACAACTATGTTTTTCATGAGAATGGTGTTTAAAGACATGAGTACCAAAGAGGAACTGCCGAAAATTCTACCATTAAAAGGAAAAACTCGGGATGAAGACTTATTTCAGACTTTCAGTGATTTTGTTAATAGTACACAGTTGCCAGTAAGTAAGCTCGTATCTAAAAATACTAATGGGGCACCTGCATTGGCTGGCCGAATCAGTGGTTTCATTGCCATGTGCTGGAGTGATGATAGGCTTCCTAACTTGTTTTTGGGCCTCAAAAGATTGGCCTTTTAATCACAACGAAGTGTGGCTGTAAGATTTAGCTTTTTTAGTTGACATGACTGCTATGCTGAATAAACTAAACTTAGATCGGCAAGGGAAAGATAAAACTATAGTTGACATGATTAGTCCTCTGGCTGATTTTAAGCAGAAACTAAAACTAGTGTCTTCGCAGCTGCATCAACATCAACTACGAAATTCAGAAATATGTTGTCTGAACTAGAAAACCAAAGAAAAGACTGTGACCAGTTTGACAGTGCTCGATATATTGAACAGGTACAAAACCTTGCCTCATATTTTGACAGACGGTTTCAAGAAATAGCAGGAATAGAACCTGTTGCAACATATATGTGTTTTCCATTTGGTAAAATCTCAAATGTTGAAGATATTGCATCTGGAATGGCATCAGGATTTAACATGGACATATCTGAAGTCGAAAATGAGTTTCTGAAGCTTAAAAATGATATTCAGATCAAATCCAGGGCAACAGGAGGACGTTTCTGAAACCTTCTCAGTGAAGAAAGATATTCTAATGTCAGAAAATGTGCCATGTACCTCACAGCATTTTTTGGATCAACCTA